TTTGTAACCTTCGTTCTCAGAGCAATGTGTCTTTGCTCGATTAAGTAGGGTCTTAACAGCACTCCGTTTGTGAGCCATAGGGTGGTTGCTCTCGTAATGTAGGATAACTTCCGCGTAAGTTTCTTTGCGGTATACTGATGTCTGGAATGTCCCGTCAGTTTTTCGCTGTACGAGGACATTAAGAACTCAATTATCTATTCAACCTATTTTCCCAAAACGGCTACCCCAGAGATTTTGTACGCAGATGCATGAAAGAGCAGGAATCAAAAGAAAGAGAGAAGGAACTAGATTGTTCCGATCAGACGCCAAAACCAAAACATTGGCGAACGCTTCCCTACATTAAAAATGTGTCTGAACTCGTTGCAAGACACCTGAGGAAGCACCAAATACAAGTGGCTCACAAACCGACTACCACGCTACGCAATCAGCTTGTACACCCTAAGGATAGGGTTGGCTATTTGGATAAGAAAGAAGTAGTCTATAAGATTCCATGTGGCACTTGTAATGCAGTGTATTGTGGTCAAACCGGAAAATCCGCCTCTACACGCCTACATGAACACCAATTGGCAGTGAAGAGGCGGGACCACTTATCCCAAGTCGCCATGCATACTCTTGAAACTGGGCACACATTCGCTTGGGATAAAACACGCATTGTCGGTTCCTGCCCATATAAGAAAGGCCGAGAATTCCTAGAGGCCCTTCACTCTGATGATTCATGCATCAATCGACGCATCGACCTTGATACCATGTACACAAGTCTCAAAGAAAAATGGAAAAGGTAATAGCCAATCACGACGTGACATCAGCCCACAGCATTAGCCTATCCTCAGTCATGACAGAGCAATATCGATTTTTTCGGCATTGTTTAAATTTTGACTGTTTCTTCACACTTACTACACGTCTGAAGACGAGCTGGGGAACCAGACTCGAAAATTTACGAAATAAAGTTTGTTCATTTTCCCAAAGGACTCATTCTTCTTCGAATTATGTTTCTTGGGATGCCCATCTTCCAATATATATATATATATATATATATATATATATATATATGAGAAGAAGAGACGATCTCGGGAACCATAGTTGTATTGTCCTGACATTTCAAAATCAAACAAGATTTCATCGTCGGAGGTGAGTTTTGTACCACGCCTCACAGTATTTATAGGTGGTGATGGTCTCGGGCTTATTCTGCCTTCATTCAGCCAATCATAACCCTGACCACCAGCAGCTGAGACCAGAAGCACAAACATGCGCACAGGCGCACCTGGCGCAGTCGGTCCACCACTGAGGCCTACCAGATGGGTCATAAGCACTTCATCGAACCGAAGTTCATCAGTGCCTCGCCACCTGTCATTCTCTGTCGCTGCAGATCGGGTATTTATCAATCAGGAATGGGCGCACACCGATCTATTGGCTTCACAAAGCAAACAAGCTCCGTATGTGTGGCAAAGGTCACGAACAGGCAACCAATTACCAGGCCGAAGTCGGCCAAGTCATAATAGCAGCGAGGAGGGACGACAGAGAATGCGGGTAGATTGATACAGCACTGTTTCGGGCTTATTCTGCCTTCATTCAGCCAATCATAACCCTGACCACCAGCAGCTGGGACCAGAAACACAAAAATTCGGCCTGGTAATTGGTTGCCTGTTCGTGACCTTTGCCACACATACGGAGCTTGTTTGCTTTGTGAAGCCAATAGATCGGTGTGCGCCCATTCCTGATATATATATATATATATATATATATATATATATATATCTAGGTCGGGAGTACGGTATAATACCTTTACCATATGAAATTCATACTACTCGTAGTACTACTTGTTTGTAGAATGGGCATTACGTGGTTATTCCACAATAGTTGATTGTCTTCGACTCAAATGTTCATTGAAATTTCGGTTCTGACCCTAAAAAGTCATGTCCCGGAGATTTAACTCCAAGTTCTGCACTGATTAATTTCCGAAATTATTCACCTGATTATTCCCTGGAGTTCATATACCAGAAACCGCTAGAGAACGCTGGGGGTCCCACTGAAGAGCCGAACCCCTCGCAGCTGTGTCACGCAGCGGCAGAATATCGGCGAAACACGTGTCTGGGCTTTTAGCAAGTATCTAGGTCGGGAGTACGGTATAATACCTTTACCATATATGTATATATGTATTATAGGCAGAATGATATTACCGACAAAGACAAGGGAGACTGGAATGGCCATTTCTGGCTTATTAGCCGTCGTCAGCCAGCCATACCCAAGCCCGAAGTGTGGAACACCCGAGCCTCGAACTCGCGACCTGTTGGTTTAGAAGTCAACGCCTCTACTCACCGGGCCACGAGCCCGTTGCCCTGTCGGTTTTCGATCGGGAATATACAATGTTCCACACTTCGGGCTTGGGTATGGCTGGCTGACGACGGCTAATAAGCCAGAAATGGCCATTCTAGTCTCCCTTGTCTTTGTCGGTAATATCATTCTGCCTATATATCATGCGCCGCTGTGCGGCTGCTGGTTGGGCTCGAGCACATGTGGGAAAGTTAAAAGAGCTTCGAGAGAACAAAGATATCCTGGTAACTAGACCAGACAAAGGAACAGGCGTCGTTATAATGAACAGATCAGATTACGTAGCGAAAATACAGTCCATACTATCAGACGAGAAGAAATTCAAGAAGGGAGACAAAGAAAAGGATTGCACGGAAGAAGTAGAGACGAAACTGACCGACTGTCTAAGAAGGCTCCACACTGGAGGTCACATAAGCGACCGTGACCTAGAACAGCTTCGACCAGTCGGCACACATATCCCTCGACTAAATGGCCTACCTAAAATCCATAAGGAAGGCCTGCCAGTCCGTCCTATTTTAGACATGCGAAACTCTCCGTATCACGCGATAGCAAAGTGGCTAGCAGAGAAACTCAAGCCTGTACAGCGTCAGCTAGCACCACGCAGCTACCGAGATACCTTTGAATTCATTGACGACATCAAAGACCTTAACGTCAACGGCATGGTGATGTTCTCGCTAGACGTCTCATCACTTTTTACTAACGTTCCGGTCACCGAGACAGTTGGCTACCTCTGTGATTTTCTATCTACCAGCCAGCAGGAAATAGGGATTCCGGTGAATACACTCAAGGAACTATTACTAAGATGCACATTAAATGTGCAGTTCCTGTTCGACAACCAACTCTATAGACAAGTAGACGGCGTTGCTATGGGCTCACCCCTTGGACCTCTCCTAGCCGATGTTTTCATGGGAAAATTGGAGAGATTCCAACTAAGCGAACAGATCGATAAGCTTAAACATTACGGTCGCTATGTTGACGATATCTTTGCCATTGCCACTGCAGAAACCGATGTGGCAACCCTCTTAGATGCGGCAAATCAGGCACATCCGTCGATCAAATTCACGCTGGAGATGGAAACGGCCGGTTCGCTCCCTTTCTTAGATGTTCTTCTAAGCAGGAGACCTGACGGGAGTGTCCGAAGCAGCGTCTATCGGAAGAAAACCTGGTCTGGACAATACACGAACTTCGCCAGTTTCGTGCCCCTCCAACAAAAACGAAATCTAGTCCGATGTTTGGCACAAAGGGCTAGAAAAATTTGCTCAACAGATGGCATCGAGGAGGAGCTCAGAAAAATCCAGGACTTCCTTCGCGAAAACGGATATCCTGAAAGGTTTATTGAAAAGAATATTGCTGAACGACCGATCAAACCCGCCACACCGACCGCCGAAAAGAAGACTTTGTTCCTCAAGGTCCCTTTCCAAGGGGACGCCGCGAGTGAACTCCTAAGGAGACGCCTTGATCAAGCTGTCTCGCGAACCTTCCCAGCAGCAAGGGTTCAAATAGCATTCTCCACTAACCCGATTTTACGTGGAGAAGGGAAGGATAAGTTGCCACCGCAGACCACCTCAATGTGCATATATTCCTTCACTTGCTCCTGTGGAGCAGGTTATATTGGTCGCACGAGTAGGCGCTTATCCAAGAGAATACGCGAACACCTTCCCGCATGGCTGGCAAAAGGTGAAACTAGGAGAATAGACAGCGCCATTCTCGCGCATGTTGTCGATTCCGGACATCGCGTGGACCCCAACGAAGCTTTTCGTGTAATTTATAAGGTCCCATCGAGCTACCCTAAGCTACTAGGCCAGCGCCTGTTAGCGACAGCGGAAGCAGCCGCCATTAGTCTACGAAAGCCAATCTTATGCGCGCAGAAGAACCACGTTCAGGCTCCGCGCCTACAGTGGTCGAAGGTCGACTAACGCTGCTACACTTCGCGCCCTTCCGCTCTCACCCCGCCCCTGACAATGACTGCTATTACCCA